ACTCACACAAATGATGCTGCAGAAGCAGCCTAGGAAGTTTAAGCTCATTAGTGCATTGGAAGCTTGTTTATAGCACAACTGATTTGTAAGGCAGCCCCTTTTTGGGACTCGATTCAGAAGCATCAACTGTAGTTTGAGACTCCAGTTCATACTTTGTGTGCTAAGAACTTGTATCCTGCCTTCTGTCCACTTCAAAGGATAGCCTCCAATGGCTCCAGTCTCATCCTCTTTGTCCTCAAGGGGTACAAAGTACTTCAGAGCAGCAACATAGTGGGGATAGTTCATTTGATGGGGACTATCTGGCACTCCCAAACTGAAGTGGACTGTAGCAGGCTCTCCTACGGAGAGCCCCCCTGCGTGTGGACACATTTATGCTTTTGCTAATAAAGACTGAGTACTGCCAAAAAAGTTATGGAGTTTAAGTCAGGCCTAAAAAAAGAAAAAAATCCTAAAGTAGAATTAGTGAAAACCCACTACAATGGCTATTTAAAAAAAGAGACTATAAACCTTTAAATGGGTCTTAAAAAAGAAGACAAAATTAGCATAGAAGTTTTCTTTTTCCTTTCCCAGGGGATGTCTTAAACATTTGTAAAATAACAAAAAAAACCCCCAAGACTTTTCTAAAGAGAAGGAAGGGGAAAGCTCACCTTTTTCTATTACAGAGGATTTCTTGAGCACCATACTTGAGCTACTGATACATCTACCACAGCTTTTATAGCCTGGTCTTTAATTAGTAGCCCTCTCCTTGTAATTTCCTAATCAAGCCAATCTGGGGGAGGCAGACTTTCAGCTTGACAACAATGGGGCTGGGCCATGAACAGCTAACCTGAAGTTTTTGTGTGAGATTGCCCATCAGTTCTGCAGCTTGCACACATTTAATTTTAGGGCACATCAGTGAATAGCCCTGTTGAGTTCACTGAGGTGTTTAGTTAAGTCTGTACAGGGTCACGGTCCAACTTTCCTGATTTTCAGAAGAGGACCATTCAAACATCCCTCCTGGTATACAGCCTCCGGGCACAGATGGCCTCCCCCAAGTCAGAGCTGCAACAATAAACTGAGGGGTTAACAGCCTTTCTCTTTGGCATACTTAGATAGGGATGATCCTGCTGAGTAGGGGACTGGGCTAGATGACCTCCTGAAGTCCCTGCCAACCCTACTCTTCTATGATCTTTATGATTAACCTCTTCACCCAGCTCTGTAATGCTTTTCTAACAGTTCTCATTTATGTAAATGAAGCATAAATACGGAGGCAGATCTGAAGAGCTGGTCGGCAGCAAACTCCTGAGTTACATGTGTAAAGATTTTAGTAAACCCAATGTGCTGACTCAGACACAGATGTACAATACATACAGCCACAGAAAAAGCTGGAGAAGCCCTGACCCATATGAATGAGCATGTGCAGTCGATTTTGTAAGGAGCAACAGTGCCATCTGCAGGCACTGGCTCTCTGTGTGCCTGCAAGTGAGAGATCTTGTGGCTCCAGGTTTCTCAAACTCTGGCAGAGGAGGAGCACTGGAGAAGTTACCATGTGAACCCCTATTCTGCCACTGGTAATCATGCTGACACTTCCTTTGCCCTTGAGCACAGAGTACCCATCCTCTGTCTAGAATTGCCTTCATTTCAGATCTCAAAGCATCCCTGGGGAAAGCAACATTGGGAAGAAGGTGAAGTTTGTAGCATTTTTCCATGCAGTGCAATGGGGAACATGGAGAAGAGGCCATCCCCATACGACTGTGGAGCCCTCCATAGGTGCAGAAAGCACTCTGGGGTCCATGGACAAGTTTGGGAATCACTGCAGTGGCATCAGTGATGAGCACAAATCCTCTGCTTAGGTATTTTGTCCTGGATACTTGTGAAACAGGCTAGTGCCCTGCATGACTGAATGCTCCAGTCACCCTCAACCTTTCAGACCTAGGGGTGATGTATGGTCTGCTCACTCAGGTTTAAAACATCTGTTTCTGTCTCTCCCATTCTGTGATCACTTTGTGCCAGGGGGCTGCTAACCCACCCCACGAGGTCTCAGAGGGATCATATGGAGTCTGGGGGTGGGTATGATGGCTGCTGTAGGGGGCTGTGAAGGTGGCAGAGGTGAAAGGAGTAGGATTCTCTGCTTTCATACATGGCTGTGGGCATGGCTTTTTTTATACCATTTCCTCCTGCAGATCTGGAGCAGAGGCTCTGACTAGTGAAGCTGCAGTTAAGCAGTGCAGTTCGGCAGGTACCTAACTGTCAGCACAGGCTTAAAAGCATTTTGCTCAATGCAGGAGAGTCTCTTTCTGTATAATCTTGTTTCCATTTTCTACCGTGGCCATTTTGTTGTTGCAATTACAGTTGCTACAAATGTAGCCGATCTGATGAGGAGTCACTTGGGGCACACTTTTAGGTCATAAATAGAATGACTAGGGCTTCTGTTCCCTGGAGGCGCCTGCCTGGAGGTATGTACAAGTCCCTGGAGGGGAGCGCACATCCCTTTGTACATCCACCCCGTGCCGAAGGCTGTCGGTCATGGTCATGCCGGAGTATCTGACTCTCACGTCTGACTTTTAATCTTCAAAAAAGCACTTTACAGAGATTAAATCTCAGGACACAATCTGCAGCCTGGCAGAGACCGGGCCGCGTAAGCAGGGCGCGCGAGGCCCAAGTCCAGCTCTGGGGTCGGGGTCAGACACGTCTCTAGCCCCAGAGCCCAGGGCGGCGAGGCAGGCGGGCGAGCGAGGCCGATGGCTTTGCTGGGGCGGCCCAGGCGCTTGAGCAGGACGTGCACCGGGAATGGATGTGGTCTCAGCAGCCCGGACACCCGCGCGGGGCCGGGCCGGCCTAACACCGCCAGGGCAGGGCAGGCGGGACCCCCAGAGCCTCCGGGGCTGCCCGCGCTCACCCACCTGCTCCGCGCGGCTCTTCCCGGCGCCGAGAGCGGCGGGGGCAGCCCGGGGGCGAAAGGCAAAGCGGGGACCCCTGCGCCCCGGGCCGAGGGGGGGGGGAGGGGGAGGGGGCGAGCGAGGTCCCGCGCG